TGGGTCGTTTACAGCTCAACAGTGCATAACGACAACAATATAGTAAATTTTGGACAAAGAACACCTCATTGTTGCTTAAGCTGCCATTTGTACACTTTTATAAAAGAAATTTATCATCTAGTAAGATCAGTTCTGCATAGGTGACTAAAAGGGCTTTATGAATTGTAGTATTAAATTTTGTCATCACTGTCATTTTAAGATCCATTGGGGGAAATGGCAATGGTTTAAGTAATTTATTTAATTAAAGCCAGGGGATTTGCTTGCTTATATTTAATGATAAGACTCATCTCAAGGGGGCTCTGGTGGCCTAGTGGTAAGAAGCTGTGTTGCCATCTCAAAAGGCAATCTACTCCCATGCAATTAAACTGATTCTGAAAACCTGCTGGAGAGTCAGCTGTGGGTCACTTCTGACTCCATGGCACACAGCAGCAGCAACAACCACCCACCTTCAGGGAGGTGGTTAGTGACTTAGTAGTAAAGTATTGTGCTGTCAACTCAAAGGTATGCAGTTTGAATCCACCAGAGTTCCTTCCTTTGCTATTTTCTGCCTGTGAAAATCTGCTAGACCATCAGCTATGGGTTGGTTCTAACTTGACAGTACATAACACCACCACTTACCTCAAGCAATGATGTTCTGGTAAATATTTTAGCAATCACGTCTCAGAGGAGTAGTAGTAAGCCTAATTTATAGTGTTTGACAATTTCGATGGTGGAAATATTTCACCCTGGCTGATTTCCACGGTACCAGCTGTCATTAACTGTAGAGCTTGGGACAGATGCATGCAGTTGACAGAGCAAGGGAACACTGCATGGTTTAAAATTAAGAAGGTAGCTTGTCAAGGTTGTATTCTCCCCATACCAATTTAATCTGTATGCTGAGCAAATTATTCGAGAAGCTGGACTCAGAGAGAAATATGGCATCAGAATTGGAGGTAGACTCATCAATAACCTGCATTATGCAGATGACACAACCTTGCTTGCTAAAAGTAAGGAGGAAATGAAGCACATGTTGCAAAAGATCAAGGAATGCAGACTTTGGTATGGATTATATCCCAATATCAAGAAAACAAAGATTCTTACCATTGGACTGATAGGCAACATCGTGATGGGTAGAGACTGAAAGTATCTACAACTTCCATCTTACTTGGATCCACAATTAACACCATTGGTACCAGTAGTCAGGAAATAAGGAAATACATTGCACTAGGAAAATTTGCAGTTTAGGGACCTCTCTAAATTATTGATGAGTAATGATGTCAGTTTGAGAACTAAGGTGCATCTGATTGAGGCCATGGTCTTTCCAATCACATGCTAAGAGCAGAACAGTGATTAAGGCTGACAGAAGAAGAATTGCTGCCTTTGAGCTGTGGAGTTGGTAAAGAGCACTGACCATCCCATGGATGGCCAAGAGAACAAACAAATATGTCTTGAAGAGGGTACAACTGAAGTGCTCTTTGGAGCCAAAAATGATGAGGTTTCATCTCACATACTTTGGGCATGTTGCCAGGAGAGGGACATGATGTTTGGAAAGGTGGAGAGTAGGTGAAGGAGAGGAAGACCCTCAACCAGGTGGATTGACATGGTGATTGCTGCAATGGGCTCTCGTGTGTCAGGATGTGTGAAGATGGCACAGGATAGGACAGGGTTCAGATCTGTTGTTCATAGGGTCTCTATGAGTTGTAACTGACTTGATACACCTAACAACAACAACAACAATAACAGTTTAAATTTAATACATACCCTGTACTTATTTCCCCCCCTAAGTAATAATATGGAAATAGATCCAATGGTGAAACTTAAAAGTAAATCTTATTCTCAAATATTGTTGTTATGTGCCATTGAGTCATAATCAACTCATAGTTGATCCCCAATGACTTTTCAGAGGCAATTGAATCTCACATAAGGAGATTGTCCATCTTTCTCCTGCTGAACAGCTGGTGGATTCAAATCACATGCCTTTGGGACTATAGTGCAGCTTCTTACCACGAGGCTATATTTATAAGTACGTGTTAGTCTGTCTTTCTCTAAGAATTACTGCTATGCTAACATTTTTAATATTTCTTTTTCAATTTTCTGTTCATTCACATTTCTAAGCATTATTTTTCAAAAATGTTCTGTCTCATTCAGAACTCCCTGTAATGTCAATTGAGGGACTACCTTATTTCCACTTTTCCATTGCCATTCTCAACTCCCAACACGCTACCTTCAAGTTGATTTTTATAGTAACCTCATAGGACAGAATGGAATGGCTCTTAGAATTTCTGGTATTTGTGGAAGACTGCCTCATCTCATATTCTTTCCATGTAGAACTGGAGGATTCTGAATACAGATGTTTTGATTAGCATCCAAATGCTTAATCCACCATGGCACCAGAGTTCTTTTGGTAACCACTATAGGGGAATGTATGAAAACTGGGCATTGTTAAGAAAGAGTTGAAAAACATAAATATTGACATCTGGGCATTGTTAAGAAAGAGTTGAAAAACATAAATATTGACATACTAGATTTTGGCAAAATAAGATGGATTGTCATGGGACATTTTGAATCGTACAATTATACATTCTACTATGCCAGAGATGAAAAAGCGAGGAAAAATAGTCACTTTTATAGTTAAAAAGGTTCTTTCTAGATCCACTTTGAAATTCAGTGTTGTGAGAGACAGGATGATATCCATACACATACAAGGAAGTCCAGTGAATACCACAGTTATTCAAGTATACGCATCAATAACTAGAGCCAAAAAAAGAGGAAGGAAATAGATAATATCTACCAAGTTTTGCAGTCAGAAATTGATAGAACGTCAACCAAGATGCATTAGTAATAATGGGTGACTGGAATGCAAAAGTTGGGAACAGCGAAGAATCAGTAGTAGGAAAACATGGACTTTGGGACAGAAATGAGGCTGGGGATAGAATTTTGTACAAACAGTGGTTTATTCATTGCAAATACCTTTTGTAAGAACCATAAACACAGACTAGAAGCACATGGATTTCACCTTATGGTATGCACAGGAATCAGATTATTACTGTGGAAAGAATCACTGGAGAAGCTTAATATCAGCTGTGAAAACTAGGCCAGGTATTGATTGTTGAAAAGACCATAAGGAAGTTCAGACTAAAGCTAAAGAAGATTAAACCAATTAAACAGGAACCAAAATTTGACCTTGAGTCTATCCCACCTGAATTTAAAAACCATTTCAGGAACAGATTTGAGGTCTTGGACACTAATGAACAAAGACTAGATGAACTGTGGGAAGATAATCAAGAATATCATCCAGGAAGAATGCAAAAGATCATTACAAAGAGGAGGAAGACAAAACAGAGATGGATGTCAAAAGAGACTCTTACGGCACTTAGAATGTTCACAAGAAAGAGATCATTAACCTGTACTAGGCAAAGTAATTTCTTCCTTAATAGGTACTTTCAGAAAAAGATTCATTATTAACTAAATTAGCATAAGTATTAGAGTCCCTCACCCAAGCTCCTTCAAAAACAAAGAAGCCTCAGCAATGGATCCTTTTCTTAAACTTTGACTCAAAACTCCCAGAAACTTCAGTAACCACAAAATAAAGCTCTACCTCTATGCAAAGTATGTGAGATGATGCCTCTGTGGCCTATCATCCTAAGGAACTTCTTGGTGGTACCCTTTGAAGGGCCAGTCCCTAGAAAAGGACATCATGCTTAGAAAAATAATGGTTCAGTGATAGAAGACCCTCTACAAAATGGACTGGGACAGTGACTCTAGTCATGACCTTACACACAGCAGAGGCCCTGAGGATAGTAAAGGAGCAGGCAGGGTTTTGTTCTGCTGTACATTGGGTAACTATGACTCACAGCTGTCTTGATTGTACCCAACAGATAAAGCTAATGGAAACAGTGTGGTATTTTGGAAGAAAACCATCATTCAAAGGATCTAAAAACTTCATTTCTTTTCTCTTTCTAGCATCAACTTGCTAGATTTTCTTCCCCAATCATTTAAGCTTTCAAAATATTTAAACAAAGTACACATTTGCTGCAGAGGGTCAAGGACTGCAACCTTCAGTAAGGACTGAGGCTCAATGTCAAGAAGACAAAGATTCTCACCACTGGACCAATTGGTAGCATCAGGATGGATGGTGAAGACATTGAAATTGTTCACAGCTTCAGTTTGCTTGGCTCCATGGTCAACACTCTTGGCACCAGTAGCCAGGAAATCAAAAAATGTATTGCGATGGGAAAGTCTGCTGTTAGGGACCTCTCTAAAGTACTCAAGGGCAACGGTGTCTCTCTGGAGACTAAGGTGTGCCTGATACAGGCCATGGTCTTTACAATCAATCATTTGTTATGCATCAGAGAGTTGGACA